CTGGGACTGAGCCTGCCCAACTAGTCAACTAGTGAAGAAGAATGAGAAAAGTGTGTGTAGGGGGAGTATATTAGAAAGACACAGGGATAAAATAATTTACAATGGAATTGGGAACTGCTTGCAATTTTTTTTTTCAGTTTCAGCTTTGTGAGCCTGTCTGTTTTTCAACTATTCAACCCTACCTTTCACAGTGCAAAAGCAGCCACAGGCAAGGTAGCAATAAACAGACACTGTGGGACATCTGGTCTGTGGCCATAGCTTGTAAACCCCCTTACTAGAGGATTTCAGTAAGATCTGATCTGCCTCAGCACCACTGTGGGTGGGTGACTGGAATGGCAGAAGGAGAATCACGGACACTTGGCAGCAGAGATCGTGGAGAAAGGAACCCAATGAGAATCATTAATACTCTGAAGTCATGGATTCTTATTACTCATATCAAAGGGCTCGAATACAGTAAGCACCTGTGGGAAACAGGTGACCAGGAACAATGTAACCAAACTGGGTTAATATTCCATTTTTTAGTTTAAGCAATGGTTATTATTAGTTCACCAAGAATAACCATGGGAAAAATAATGGTGAATTAAAACACCACACATGTAGGTCACTTTGGGATATAATGAATAGCAAATCAGTACTATATCTTTTGCCAAAAGCAGAAAAACAAATAGTTGTTATATAGAGGACTGGAAATTGAAAACAAAGAGACACCAAATAAAGAAGAAAAGGAAGGGTCCATGAAGAACTTTTCTTCGGTTTTGGATCTACTTTGAAATATTAATGAGAAAACTTTTGTTCATCTCAAATGTGGGCTCTCTTCATCGAGCTGCTAACGTTATTAAACACACTGAAGCCCGTCACCAGGTACTTCTGCAATGGGCAATTGCACGTAACTTCTGAATGCAACCTCCCTCACCATTCTTGTAATCTCTAGGAATTAACCCAAAATGGGCAATTTCAAGATATTCAGTATCATATGAATACATTTATAACAAACACATGGTATAATATTTCTGAATATTCTAGAAAAGAATACTCTAAAGCTGTCAATAAAGAAGAGCACTTGTTGAATTATTCTCTGCAATATCTGAGAATGCCAGACAGCAGAAGCAAGGTCATCAGCAGAGGTCTGTGTGAACTCGACCAGCAATTTCTTTCTCTACTCTGGGAAATACTGAAGCAAATTCCAGTGACAACATTCATAGACAAATTTTAGAGCTATGGTAAAAAACGATTAGTAGTTCTATTCTGCATAAAGTATCCAAAACTATATTGTATATGAAGTGGGTCTGTTTTCAGTTTTCCCTGCATGTTTGTGCACTCACACATTTTTGTGAGTGTACAGACAGTGTTCTTTATATTCATAGAACTTCTTTTAAAATTAAAAAGTCAAGCAGTAGCATTTCTGAATTCATTCATAGTAGTTACAAAGTTATTTACTGGAAAGGGTCTCAAGATTTCAACCGGCCTTGACCCTTGACCTCAGTCAATTGAATGAAAGATATTTAAAACAGATAATAGTCCTTTTCCCCCTCAAGATTCTCTATGGCCTATTAGAAGTCCATATTAAATATTTCACTAAGTTCTTTCTAAGATATAGGCTGGGCATATGTACATTATATATATTATATATATTACAGATATATTATTACATATTACAAATATATTATTATATATTGTATATAGATATATTATATATAATTTTATGTATATTTTATATATATATATATATATATATATATATATATATATATATCCCATTTTTAAAATTTAAACACATTTCTCCTAATTTGAGCCTTTAAAGTAATGAGGAAAAAATTTTCATACTCATTCTCATAAGACTCTGTTTCTGAGAATATGAACTATCCAGACCAGGTCTCTATGCAGTCTTCTCTTCCATAAGCTCACTAAATTTCAATTCTTCTTTACCTTTCACAGGGAGCCTCTCATTCATCCCTTCAGTACTGTCAAACTTTCCATCTTTTCCACTTCCTTTTGTAATGTAGATGACAAATTTTACTGTGGTTTTCTGTCATATATTCAGCAAGCCAGAATATTCTTACGTTAAACCGAGGCAGTTAGAAATGTTAACTAAAATTTACTGAATATCTAGCATTTTGCAAGGTACTGTGGGGAGACAAGCTTTAAAGTACCCCAAAAGGAAAACGGCTCTTGTTCTTTCACAAGGATAACATCATTTTTTTGTGTCTATTATCACAACCTCCACCACTGCCTGCAAGCATTCCCTCCTCTCCACTCCTACTCATTTTGGGTGTTCAATGAAGACTTTGCTTCCTGAGTTATTTTCCTCTTGTATTACCAATGCCCCCTCCATTGCCGTTGATTTATCTCAGCTTAATAACCTTTTCTGGGCCTTCCTATTCAATCAAGTTATAAATACCAGATTCCATCTCCACTCTTCTATACCAGCATGCAGAGTCAATTGCGCTGCCTCCCTCACCTCACGCTACCTTCTCAATACCCAGAAAATTGCCTTCCAAAGCTCTCTTGCATTTTCAGATGATTTCCTAACAGCTTAAGACAGTGAATGACTTCTTGGTCTTCCTATATTTCTGAACAACAACAGCAAAAAAGACTCTGCTAGTTCTCTCCAACTAAAATATTATTTGTCCATGTTTATAAGGTGTTCCCAAAATTATTGCTCATCTTTTCTTTCTCTGATTGCTCTACCCATAGGCTAGTCCAGCCTATCATGCCAATGACCATTTTTATAGAGAGTAATCATCATCCCCAGGTCTCCTAAAAACACAACTCCATTACTCAAATTGCCTTCTGGACATTTTCAACTGAATATGCTGACAATTTATTTTGGACATACACATATACAAAAATGAAGAGTCTTTTTTTCCAAACCTTCCTCTACTTTCATTATCCCTTTAGTAGTTAATGATATTGTCATCCTGTCTTTTTAATTCTTTACCTAATCCCTCCCTCAAATTTGATGAATTTCAAAGTATGAAGTAGGAATAAGAGATCTCACTCTATTGATGATAAAATAGTAAGTTTTGAAAAAGTGGTTATATTGAGAAAAATTAATTGGAAAAAAAAAAAGAATTTCAGCAGTAAACCTTGTGTTCCAAAGTATGGACTACGTTCTTTCTTAAGTATTGATGGATGTTGATTCTTCCCTGAGTATTAAGGCAAAATTACATTTGACTCCTACAGATGGAAACACTAGAATTCTTGCTTGCATTAAAAAGAGCTTAGAAAGCCTCAAGGACTCTAAGCTGTGGCTGGGACAGCCTGAGGCCCGTCCTTCCTCTAGGGAGAAAGTCCTCTCACAAAACACTATGCAAACACCCCACACAACACCCAACCTATAATCTTCCTTAAATATTTATTTTTTTAAGAATACAAACTAAAACTCAACCTTAAAGACATTTCTGAGCTGGGTTTCCACTCATTTCTAGTTAAAGAAGGATGGCTGGTATAATTCAATATTAACATTCTGACTATTCCATCTGAAACCATACACTCTGTTGGAGCCTCTGTTTGCAAAACAAAACTATCACACTAATTAAGAGAGTGATTTGTGAGAACAAATAAAATAAGCATGACCAATTTGTCCGGGCAGTAATGATGTAAACCTGGCATATCACTAAAGATTTACACCTGCTATGGTGTCAGGCTCAGTTTTTCTGCTGTCTTTAAATCTGCTGCTTAAAGGCCTGTGTCTGTATGTCTGTCTGAAGCTATACCTGCCAAGAAAATCTCTCACTTACCCACCATGGCCAATTTTATATTGTTCACTAAAAATTCTTCATGTAGGACTTACCTCCTATATCTGGACTTACCTCCAAAAGGTTTAACTATAAGAAAACATGTTCAGTCCAAAATCACCCCAGGGACACTGCTGAGCATCAACCATCATCACCCAATTCTGCCAGCAGAATGTGATGGGCTAAGACTGGTGCGGGATGGGTTGTGGAGCCAGTGCATGCTGTGCCATGCACAGTGAGGCTCCCAGAGATGCCCTCTCATAAGTAGCAGTCTACACTAGGAACAGTGCTGAGTGCTGTTCATGAAAAGGTGCTCCACAAATGACAAGGCTTTTTCATTCTCTAAAGAAATTCGATACATTAAGACAAAAATATCTACAGTCAGGAAACTACTCCCCCATGGTTAGTAGCACAAAATGCAAAACCAGCAATATTCATGTAAATATAAAGAACACCTAAAATAAAATTTAAAAAATTAGAAAGCAGAACCACACAGATACAAAGTGTCTTTTAAGGGTAACTTTTCTTTCATGTATTGTAAACTAGTCTACCACCTTCATGCAGAATAACTTATTTATGCCTCATTGTGTCTCCATTATTGAAAGGTAGTTTTATAAGACTTATTAATTTCTAATTTGTTTCATAATTTAATTATTTTTATAGCTACTTATTTATGTTCTTTGGTACAATGATTGACTCTTGGTACTAATTGAAATGTCCACTGACCTTGTGTCCCCAAATCATGTACTACCATTAACAGAAAGGGTTGCCCTCTGGCCTCTGCTGCTCCCAGGGGTGCAGGAGTGTTATGTTGAAACATGGATCTTTCTGAGCAAAGGTCATGTCACTGGTAATGGCTTGATGGGGGGGGGGGGTGTTTCTTCTCTTCTTTCTTTTTCTTAATGAAAAGCCTGAATGTTTGATAGAAGTGTAACATGTGAGCTACCTTTGTTTTATAGCTCTGGTGTTGGTAGCCGAAAGAGTTCTGAGATTTGTAGCTTAAATATTTTATTTAAAAAATGCCTCCTCCAACAGAAATGTTAATAATTCAAAATATGATAAACTTGACACTAAGTTTCAGGGCTGGTTATTTGGTAATATTTTTGTATTTGATATGAAAGCTTAGTAGATAAGCACCTTGCTGCATACTTTGTTTAAAGGGTGCTTTTTTCCCTGCAAAATTATATTAACATAAAATATATCATAGTAAATACTAATTATAAAATAACTAATTTTTAAAAATTTTTTTTTCCTTTCATCTAGAGAACTGAGAACATGTTTGTGGACAAAATCAACACATCCGAGCAAAGCTTGATTTTGACATTAAACCTTCAATCCCATACATTGCTATGTGGTTCCATTTGGCCATATCCTTCCTAAGACATTGGGGAAGCTCCGGGACAGCCACGCACTTGGTAAGTCATTCTGAGGATGATGAGCCTGGCTCTGATTTGTCCTGACAGGCTCTCCCTGCGCAGGGTTCACTGGCTCTGAGGTAGTTACTGAAAAGAGCATCTATAATCAACAGCTGTGTCCTGATGTTTTGCCAATCTGTGCTCATAAAACATCATGTTTGGTAACATATTTCAAACAGTTTGCTTTTGTCTTTTCAACACCAAAATTCCCACTTCTGTATTTTCTTTCATCCAAGAATATCTAAATAGTTTGAGGACATTAATTATGCCATACAAAATCCTTTCACAGTAATTATTGATGTAACTGTTATCCTAATTATCTGTAATACCAACAAATCCACTTCCTATATTGGATTGCACCACGGAAATGGGCTTAATGGAACATGCTTTACCGCTACCCAGGAATATCCACTGCCTTCTTGGTACACAGAGAGCTCTCAAAGGCGCGCTGCAGAGTCCTCTCTGGCCCACATTAGGCTTTTGTATTTGGGTGCTGACATTTTTTCTCCTAAAATGTTTCTTCTATCTGCATACAGATGTTTCCTTCAGTAGGAATTAAGTTTACTGGTTACGTTTCTTGATCAGTTAAAAACTTGGGCTAGGTATGTACAGGGAAGCCCGGCTGCTAGGCAAGTTTATGGGCTACGTATGGCAGGGAATACAAAGAGGAGTCCTACAACCTTTACTTTCAAGAAGCTGGCAATTGCCAAGGTAGACCAAATATATAGGAATAAGTTCAGTTTCCCATGATGGTGACAAAGAGGAACAGAACATAGCTCGGGAGGGCGGGGAGTAGGAGAACAGGGGTGACAACGGAAGCTGGAGAGTCTGGTGATAAACTTTGGCTGAAAGTTCATGTCTTAGTTTTACTCACAAATATAATGAGAAACTTCTGAAAACCCCGAGGAGATGATACATGATCCAAGGGGTGGATAGAGGGGGAAAAAGCCGCTGAGGTGGCCAGCTGTTCCTTTTCTCAACTGGGGACCAAATGTAGAAAAATGAGCATTTGGGGATTTAGATTAAAGAAAAAGAATACATTTGACAGCAAGACTTATTAAACAAATAATGAAACAGGTTACAGAAGGAAGCTATGAGAACATCATCTGTGAAACTCTTTAAATCCGGGATGTAGTTTCAACAGCTTGAAGAATGGAGTGAGGGATGGAGCATGCTGGCCTCAGAGAAACCACACCACATTAAGTTCCAGCAACTGCAGAAGGCTTCTTGGGACCCATCTGTTGGAGATTCTTTTTGTAGTGACAATGGTCACAGCGAGCTACCATGCTCTCTCACACAGCTTCCCATGGCCAGCGAAGAGGAAGGAGCCTAGGCTATGCATCAGAGAAGCAAGGTTCAGCTATTATGGGATGTGAACCTACCACATGAGATTCATTTGCAAAAAATCCCTAACAAACTCAATCCACAAGCTCAAGTTTGGCATCGGGAGATGTTTAGCTTTCCAGAGCTGTTTTAGGATACTTTAAAAGTCATGGGTTTATTCATTCAACGACTTTATTGAGTGGCTAATCTGAGTTATGGGGTAGGGACAAAGCGGCACAAAACAGAGTGGCTACCCTGGGGGTGGCAGGCACATAAACAGTTCATTATATGCCAGAGTGATGAGTGTTAGGATGGAGGTGAGCCTGGAATGTGTGGGAAGCAAAGATGGTGGACACTGACCTGGACCAAGGGGCTCAGGGAAGGCTCCGGAAAGAGGCAGCTGATGATGGAGGAGGAGAAAAACTTTCCTTCCAGATAAAGGGTGTGGCATGTTAAGGGCACTGCATGGCACAACACAAAAGAAGCATGAGAAAGCCTGATAGCAAGGGGAAAACTGGCAAAATCACAATCTAGGCTGGAGTTGTATTTGCCTTCTAGTGCCAAGGTTGCTTTTTAAAATATTTAAGTAAGACCTTCGGCCTTGATTAGTGCATCTGTCATATGAATATGTATTTGCTGGCTCCCTGGAATAATGTGTTAGACATGGAATTCAAATGCCCTTTCATTTACCAATGGCTACTAAAAGCTGCAATCAAGCCATGTCATCTTATTTAAACAAACTCACTATATTTAGGGATTGATGTCTAAACAGAAAACAGGATTAATTTGATCATTGTTTTCTTCCACCATAAACACTCACTCTTTATCCATGACATATATTCTCATATGTATAAACATACATTTATACATACTATCCATCAATCAAGAAAAGTTGTCAGGTTGAATGTCTGATTTGACAAACAAGAATTCAAGCTTTACCAAAAAGCAAAAAAGAAGCTTAATGATTAAAAAAAAAAAAAAATTCTCTAGTTATGTATCAGCTCAAACTGAAACACTCAAAGTAAAAATAATCAAGGTTATTTTGATTCATCATTCAAGCTTTCCCAGAATTGTGAGCAGCAGATAAGCCTCTCACCCTTTGTCAACAGTGCTCAGAGGCTAGCTAACACTAAATCTGGACAAGGTCTCACCTCACAAGGGCCAAAACCCCAAAATTTCAAAGTGATATGAGTACAATTTGTACAAGAAAGGGAGAGAAATGGTAACACATGCTTACTAAAACTATGGCTTTTGACAATGCTACATGATTTACAAATGCCCCTGTTTCTTTTCAATACAGGAATCTATATCATCATCCCACCTCACCTCTGCCAAAGATGTTTAAAAAAGAAGTGGATTGCACATAGCATCTGCACAGACCTGACTCCAGATTCAGAGTCCTAAACTCAGACCCCAGCTTTCTAAGTCTGTCCATTGACTTCTCTCCACTCTCTCTTCCCCAACTCTCTGCCCTTACAAAGGATTTACTGAAAGACTAAGATATTATTGGACAGGCAATTGCTGTTGTAACACAACCTTCTCAAGGGTTAAGTGTAAATGAATCAGAAACATGTGGCTTAAATTTCCCACAAAATTGAATTCATATGGGCTTTGATATAAAAGAGAAAATAACATTTTCCAAAATATGGCTTGAGTTTTGAAAAACTCCAAATGCTGGGAAAATGGCTTAGGTATTCACGTAACTTTTAACTTATGGGCAGAATCAGTCATCTGTGATATTATAAAACTTCACCCTATGAAATCATGTGTCATGCTCAGAATTGCACATACAGAGATTAAACACCCACCTTCACAATTTTGTGAAAAGTTCCCAGAACAAGACGAGAACAGTACACTGATACTTAGTGTGCCTAACAGAGACAAGTGATTCCTACAGTGGAATGAGCACATGTGTTATTTAGGGATCTTATGAAAAACCAGATTCTGATTCTACAGGCCTGGGTGGGCTCTCAGATCCTGTATTTATAAAAAAACTCCCAAGTGGTATTGGTACTGCTGGTTCATGGACCACACTTTCAGTAGCAAGGACTTAGGTCACCCATGCCACATGTCACAGCTTACTGCACAAGTCCCTCTATACTATGCTATATAGCTTCAAGCTTCCTGATATTCCTATTTGTTTGGCGACCAAAAAATTCCAAGCAAAATTACACAAATAGGAATTAAAATTTCCTGCTAAAAAGGTATAGATAATTGCTGTGAAATTTACATAACAATATCCACTGATTAGAAGTAATGAGTAATGCATTCATTATTACATATGAACAATGAGAAAACAAATAAGAAACAGTAAATATTCATCACTACCAGCTCTGCTACTACTTTATATTTTACTCCAACTGGGAATCCTTTCATGAAATCTTCCAAATCACTTCAGACATCAGAGTTATTGCCTGTTTTGAATTCAAGCACTTCTTTGTTTACCACATGACTAATTAGTTAGGAATCGTCTAGTCCTGTTGCGTGCATTAATTCTGCACATATGGATGCCTGGTTTTCACAAATAGATCTTAATTTCTGTGAGAGTGTGGATGGAGTCTTCTTCCTTCCCAATACCCCAAAGTCCCTCACCATGCTCTGAAATAAAGTGCATACCCCATATAATCATAGAAACTACTTAAAAACCTCAGCTTCTAATATTTTAAGGCCATACAAACAGCCAAACCCATTTCTACAGTGTTAGGACTCCTGCTGTTCAGGTTGTGATAAATCTAGTTCTATTTGTGAACTGGGGTTGCGGGGTGAAGGAAGGGGACAGATGTCGGAACTGAGAAAGGAAACATCTAACATTCTGAGAAAATATTCACTACTTATCCACAAGGCCTGATAAAAAGCTTATAACTCCTTTCCTCCCCCACAGGGATTGAATGGGTCCATTTTTCATATATGCAACTTTACAGGAATATTATTACAATGAAGAATGCTATTACTTTCTTCTTTGATAAACTACAGAAGCAACTTATTTTTATGAGTCACCGCCCCCCCGACACACACACACACACACCATGATGGCAAAACAAAAGCAAGTGTTTATCAAATTCTCCAACTTCTAAACCATCACTCTCACTTTTTTAACAAGGAGACATATTTGATTGCCTCTCTAAGGACAGGTCACTTCCAGCTTTTGGGAAACCAATTCACACACTCTGCCACTGAAAAGGCCACCCGTTCACTGCCCTTATGTTCCATGTCAGAGTACCTGGCCAAACCTAACATTAAGGTCCTCTTTTTCACAGGCACCGAGAGAAGGTCCACATGGTGACGTGACTGCCAAGAATCAATGCTATCATCTCCTGTCCCTGCTTTGAGTTTCGCCCCAGCTGAAGTGCCAAGACCATAGCCCAAGGGGGCGGCTCCCCTCACTAAAGGATAGGAAGCACTTCCTCACATCAGTGAGGTATCCAATTGGTCACAAAAGCTATTTCTGCTTCAAGTATGCCATCAGACCTAATGATGCTTCCCTAGCAAAATGTGCTCCAGCTCACACAGGGCCAACTGGAAACAAACTTAAATGCCATTTTTTTTTTCTACTGGGGCAGCTCAAAGCAGATTTTTAAAAGATGTTACTCTCACAAATCTGTTTCAGAAGAATTATTAACTATATGGATTAGTCCTGTGCTAGGCTGAGTTTCAGGATAGTGAAAATGTTTTTTCCTTAATTTTACAAAAGCAATTTGCGTTCTAGATACAAAGAAAGATGCATACGTATAAGCCATTAAGTAGTTTGCAGAGCCAAGGATGTTAACATGAGAAAAGTTATGAAGTAGGATTGGGAGGTGTAGCTTAGTAATAGAGCTCTTGCCTAGCATGCACAAGGTCCACAGGGTTCAATCCCCAACACCAATATGAGAGAGAGAGAGAGAGAGAGAGAGAGAGAGAGAGAGAGAGAGAGAGAGAGAGAGAGAGAACACACACACACACAAGAGAAATATTATGAAATGGTACCTACTAAAAGAAAGAGATGCTTGGGCGACATGGTAAAGGTTGTAAAAAAATGTGTAAAGAAACATCATTCATTTAAGTTTTTAAACTTAAGTTGGTGGATAAGTGAGGAAATCATATCAAAGACCCTGGATGCTGTCCAGTAAGTGGGGGTTTATCAAACAATGCTTTGCAGAATCCTAAGATTCCACAGACATGCCTCAATACCTCAATGAATGGTGTTAAGAATAAATAAATGTAGTCACTTTGACCTTAAAATTAATACGTACTAGTCAAAGAAAATTGTTTTGACTGGTGTAATATGTTTTCACTTGATTTTAGCCCAAAAGCTGAGAAATGATGTATATTAAGTTTCTATATAGGATTTTATTAGGGAAAAAGAATGACATTGAAAATGTAAACTACTTTTTAAATTATTATAGGAAGGACAGCATCAAAGAATTTTATTTATAATAAATTTTCACTTCAAAATTAATTTAAAATTCATTATATTTTTAAAACAATACAAATGCTTAATTTGACACTTGGAGTTCCTGGTATGTATAATGTGGAAGTTATTACTAGCATCATTATTATTAATTATATCAATCTGGCTGCATCTTGTAATATGATGAGAACTAATTAAATCGGAACATGTACCATTATGGGATTTAACTGCACATGGTAAAAAAGAATTGCTAAGTTTCCCCTAATCATGCATCCTTATATACACAAAATCCACATTAACTCAGTGGATAGTTAAGCATCAAGCAGGGACAGCAGATAATGTGCGTTTGTCCTTGATGACTCTAAAAAAAGATATTAATTTCAGTTTTACAGCTCATTCAGAAAATTGCCTTGATAACTTGGGAAAGCCCTGTGTATACTTTCTGCTTGTGTGTGTGCTTATACTTGTGTCTAAATCAAAAGAAACCACAGCAGCCATAAAGGAAATTAAAAATAAACTTAAATATGCTTCCATAAGCCAATGCAGGGGCTCCAGAGACTTGATCGTAAACTTGCACACTTAAATTGTCTACATGAATTTTTGATTCAAAAATGTAGTAAGCAATTTCATCATCACAATCACATAAATTAAAATATATTTTCACCTGGGGAAAGTATTCCTTAAGCAAATGTAGGATATTTTATTTAGACATTCAAGGATCAGACAATTTATAATTCTGATCTCTAAGAAGCCTAATAAAGCCATTAATTTACTTGTATTAAAAGGAATACAGAGTGAATAATATGAGAGATAAAGAAAAAGGAGTTTAAAACAATCTATTTTATGGGATGATTGGGAATCTTGAAGTAAAATTGTATGAACAATTTAACTGTTAGGTCCCCAAATGTGATGTGCTCAAGTTCCCTCATACTGCTAAACAAAGCAGGTGTTTAAGTTCTTGTATTATTTCATCATACTCGGACCACATTCTTCCTGTTACTGTATTAAGACAGTTTCCAAAAGGTCATTTTTGTCACTGAGCATTCTTCAGATACTGGTTGAGAACTGTCCACAAATACATAAAATAGAAGATCATTAAAATATTTAAAGGGGAATAAAGGGAAGGGAGGGGTATGGGAAAGAGAGTAGAATGAATCAGACATAACTTTCCTATGTTCATATATGAATACACAACCTTGTAACTCCACATAATGGACAACCACAAGGATGGGAAGTTATACTCTATGTATGTATGTCAAAATGCATTCTCTGTCAAGTATATCTAAAAAAATAAAATATTTAGCTAATGTGTTACTCTAAAATTTAATTTAATATTTTTGGACTGACTATAGTTATCATTCTAATTTGACTTACTTTTAAAATAAGGTGCTACTATTTCTAAAAAGGAGGCTATTATTATACGACTAAAATCTTGTATGCTTATGGGCTGCTGTGACTGTTGCGTCCCTTCTTTGATTTTGAGAACCAAGAAAATAAAGAGTTGAATCAATCTAACTTTAATTCTAATTAAAAATACCTGTGCTGCAATAAAATGACACTCAGACTTCTAAGCCAAGAGGATACAAAAATGGGACTTTAAGTGTACTGTTATTAAGAAAAATTGAAGACAGCACAAATGAAATGGAGAGAGAGCAGAGAGCAGAGGAGATTAGATTGATGGAAATGCTTGTTAGTGAAAAATCCACTTGTTTATTGAGAGACAGCGGCAATTAGCCGATGGTGGAAGTGGATAATTTGTTTATTGTTTCCACTTTGAGGAAAGATTTCTTACGTATTTCCATCCAAAATAATGGCCCCTTTGGTGTCACTGTTGTCTCTGGGGCAGCTCATACCACCTGTACCATCAGCCACATCCCCACTCCCTGATCCCAGGCTTGCCAATCATCATTTTTAGCACCATTGGAGACTTTAGAAGAGGCCACAACTTCTGGGGTAAGGCACTTAGGTGTGACAAAGGCTGGTGCAATCAGATCAGAAAATGACTGCAATTAGAAAAAGACAAAGAAAAACTACCTTGCCAAGGGTAAGCTATGCTATGGAGAAGGGGCCGGTTTATCATAGAAATCCTAGATGGCGAAGCAACCGAATTCACAAGGCTTTCCCTGGTTACAGGATTGTCCCTGGGAAGTGAGTGATTTGCAATTCTGCCGGTTTTTGTTTTTTTCCTCTTTTAAATCCTTCCTTAATGTGTGAGTGTGCATGCGTGAAAGTGTTTGGGCATTTGAACTGCATGATTTACCCTCTCATTGAAGGAACCTATGCTACTGTTTTGCTTTTATTACAAATATTAAAATCTAAGGGCTAGAGGTATAGATTGGTGTTAGAAGACTTGTCTGGCATGCAGAAGGCCCTGTGTTCCATCTCTAGCACAGCAAAAATAAAAATAAAAAATAAGGCTGGTGTATGTGTATGCACGCGCACAAGCACCGAAGGCAAGAACCTAGCAAAATGATATATATTTAAAATACATTTCAAATAGCACCATAGCCCAGCTGACACTGAACGTAGAAGAAAATAGCACAAGCCCTGCATGCATGCTGCCCTGACCCCTCCCTCCTCACCTCCCGACACTGCTCCTGTGCTATTATTCTCTGCCTTGGTAATGCACTTGGTCTAAACCTCTTTTGGAGATGGGATTTTCATTCATTATAGGAGGAAATAACATAGAAGATTAGAGAAATACCTCCCAAATCAATTTGACAAGTATGCCTCAATTAGATTTCAAAATGTTTAAGAAAGTATTTCTGTACCTTAGACAAAGTAATTTAAAAAAGAAAAAAGAAGAAAAAGAAAAGTCATCCTTCATTCTCTCTGATTTGGTCTGCTCAGTGGGTTGCCTTCTTTCAAGCCTGACCTTTCCTTGATATCTCCTTATTGTCCCCAAACCTCAACCCACTGGGCAATTAGAACGTAAGACCCACTTTCCGACCACCTCGTTTTAGCAGAATACAAGATCAAGGCCTTCCCTTGAAAGGGCAAGAAGCCCTGCCAGTCAGGGCACATCAGAGTCACTTTATACACTGATGTCTGCACCACACACATCCGCCCTTCCAGTTACCAGAGCAACACCAGAAAGTGAGGGTCTTTGCTTTCCTTGGTCCTCTCCAAGGACACTGCTGCACACAGTCTTTCCTTCTCTGCTGGGGACTTCTATCCCTTAGCCACTCTAATTTCTTTAAATGTTTCTGACCTTACAAAGTTATCTGCACAAAGTCCTGAGACCTACTCTTAGAATAGAGTGTAAAGTATACACAGCAATGTCTGCAGATATATTTTCTACTGACTTACCATTAAAAAAATAAATAACACACATGTGAAAAGTTTTACATTTGACAAAAGGGAACAAAACATATTTGGCTGCAAATCTCTGAAAACCATGCATTTATGGAGACAAAGGAGATAAAAGATGCACCATGAACAAGCTGAGCCTTCTCTAATAAAATGAACACTGACACCAATAAACTTTCCTCTAATACAATTACCTACAGCCAAGTTGGTTTCTTTTATTCATAAATCTAAGCTCAGCAAGTAGAAATCCTCAAATTTCAGCAGCAAAGGGGTGATTAAAATAAGTCAAGATGTTCCGGGACTAAGTCAGCTCAGCCCACATCCCACTTTGCACCAGACCACAAAGATATGGGTGCCAATGTTTTCTTTCTCTTCTTTTATTTTTCTTTTTGGTATTGGGGATTAAACTCAAGGGTGCCCTACCACTGAACTACATGTCTAGACCTTTTTTATTTTTTATTTGTAGACACGATCTCACTAAGTTGCTTAGGGCCTTCGCTAAGTTGCTGAGGCTGGCTTTGAACTTACCATCCTCCTGCTTAGCCTCCCGAGCTGCTGAGATTGCAGGTGTGCATCACCGTGCCTGGCCTATTTTTTTTTTCTTCTTTTTAAGACATGATGGTGACTTTTAATGCCTGTGTGTAAGAGAGAAACCCCTGGGGATGGCATCTCCACCACTGATCTATGTTGTTAAAAACTTCTTCTAAGGAAAAACTGGGATAAGAAAGTAAACCTCACAGATGCTGCTCATGAAATGGCTTATACTGTCTGACTTGCAATCCCGGTACAAAATAGACAGGTTCTGCCTCCACCTACACTCGTCATGAAAACGCTGAACCTGTAGGCACAGAGGTTGGGATCTAAAGGGATGAGCATTTGCCAACTCTAAAATGAAAGCCTTGTGTGGAATTCGGGGGGGGGGTGGAATGTGGTGCTTAAAAAATATAATAATTTAAACTTCTCATAATTTGCAGAATGCTTTCATAATTTTAACAAGAACCCGGTACATTACTGATGATGGAATTGTGATTCTAAGATATAAATAAATGGACATGGTTAGGCTATGACAGAAAACAAGCATCAGCATCAGAATTGAAGCTGGGCAGTGGCTAATGGTATCTGCGATCTCATCCTGAAGTTCAGGAGCTGAGGAAGGGAGAAAGAAATGCAAGGGGAAAACACCCAGACAGGGAGAGGAGATGTCCATGCTTCTGCCGGCCCTTGTAGAACACAAACAACTCGTAGGAAATCATTCACAGCAAGCTCGGACACCCAGCAGAAAGTTCAGAGACTGTTTTAAAATTTATTGTAGGTCACAGGAGCCCAAAGTGGAAGTATCTATAAATAGCTCGGGGGTCTGGTGAGATAGCCCTCTGGTGGAACATTTCGGCTGTGTGACGGCTGCCCCTTCTCCAAATGCACATGGTGCACTGCCATTCCTCAGCTGGAGAAGGCCTCTGCATGAGCAGAGCTCCGAGCGCAGAGAATGGTTTCCATCACTGAGTGACAGGAGATACCTGAGCATTTCAGTGGAGGAAAAGCAAAGCTGCATATAAATCAACTCAAAATGTAAACACACCACTTAAGTATTAATCAAAGTAATTATAGAAAAACAGTCCGGAAAATCTCTGTAACAATCCAAGATAAATAAATGTCCCCTCCTAAAAGGAAGCTCAGCACTCATTTGTTCATAACCTAACTTGACTTTACTCACATAATTCATGCCCAATACCATGTGTTTGGCCGTATCTGTCTGAAATAAAGTTATCTAAGCTTCTAGCACGTCTACACAAAACACAAATTCAAGCTTAGAAGAGAAGAGTAAGTCCAAGGTAAAAAGCAATTAAAATAATCACAACATACATCAAACTGAAACATGCATTACACTTTCAATAGAGTCTGGTTTTCAACACATAAAAGAGGAGAAGGACCCTCAGGCAGGGTAGCAGGTATGCTGCAGACCAGACTTTGGTTACAACTCTCTATTAATACAGGGCAGCAGGAACTCAGGCAGCTAGAAATATGTGAGGGGCTGGTCCCCAGTATTTGTGGGGGTGGAGATGTAACTTTGCTGAGGTAGAATGGGAAGAAGGGCTCTCTAAAGAGAAGGGAGCTGAGTCCCAAGTGACACATAAGACCCACTATGAAAAAATACAACAGCAGCAAGAAGAAACAGCCAATGCAAAGGCCCTGAGGCAATTAACAATGTGCTTGTAGAATAGAAGGAAAGCCTCATTGGCTAAAGCATTGTTAGGGAAGAATATCTAGCTCCACGCTTGGTATACTACACTGGCTTCTTAAAAGTTACTTCCTTCCCATCTTCTGAGTTCTTTAGAATTGAAGAAAGGGCTAGGCTAAGTAACCCATGAGTATCACCTACATAGTTTTTTCCATCAGGAAAGCAACTAACAAAGGTACTTATTAGCTGTGTGACCAGAGGTGAGTGACTTCACCTCTCTGAACCTAAGTGTAAAATAAGGATAATTACTAACATGTTGATAAGATTACTGTGCTGATGCACACACACGCACACACACACACACAAAACAAAAAAACAGGTGTGTAACATTATTGCTACACATTATAAACACCCCTGGCTTCTACCAGTTTCTTTTAAAGGGCACTTTCTTGAGTAGATTTTGTTTTAACAGGTCATTCATTAACTTCTTGAGGTACTTCAAGCTCAAGTGCTAAAACCAATGACAACATCAGACCAATTATAAACACTGATCAGCCAGCTCTGAGCTCTTAACTCAGTGGGAAGCTATGATCCAATTAGCAAAAGTCTGGTTCGTATATTGCCGTTCAAAAATACTTATCTGTATAATGTCCACTTTGCAAGTTAAAAAACATTCATATGCTAAAATTCAGAGGGACATTTTCATTTCAAAATTTCCCCAAGCCTTGTCAAGTGCTATGGAGAAAAATGAGCTATTAAATCTTAAATACTGCTTTCAAAACAAAAGGCAAACCCAACCAAGAGTCACATCACTATAATTTCTAATTGCTGATCAAAATGTGTTTAGAAATTACAATTTTCTAATGTTTGCAAAATTTATTTCATCAAAAATCAGTTAATATAGCAGTTTACTATTCATACAACAACAGGTAACCACCCCTCTTTTTGGAACCTGCTGACATCTGGTTACATGGCATTGTTCTGAAACTT